CTGGGGCCTGGAGTCCTCATCTGCCTCTGCTGAAAGGACATTTCACGACTAGAGGAACTGCAGCCCCATGTCCCGCCTCAGGAGCCGGGGCTGGCCCTCAGCTGTCCCTTGCCCTGGCTTATTTCTTTTGAGCTCTGCAGTCTTTCAGGTCAACTTCAGCTCTCAGGCCAGATTCACCGATGACCTGAAGACCAATGTTTCTATCTGTAGAAAATGATGAATATCATAGCTGGTCATAAAGTTAAAAAAAGTCAGAAAATTGGGGTCAAGAGTTCAATTATAAAATGAAAATTTCTCACAAAATATTATTAAATTTCAACACTTATTTTATATTCACAATTTGTTAAAAACATATCTTGATAAAGTGAGGAAATCCATCTGAATATTTAGAGATGAGCAGAGCCTGAAAGCACGGACCTCTGTGCCGTGTGGAGGGTCCATGTCTCCTGCCCCCACAGGACAAATGGCAGAAGCTCAGTGACCAGAACCCACTTGAGGTCTTCGAGCCCGTCTCCTTGATGACCCTGGACTCCCTCATGAAGTGCGCCTTCAGCTACCAGGGCAGCGAGCAGTCGGACAGGTCAGTGCGAATCCTCCAACGTGGCCTTATTCTCACCGACTGGTGTGGCCTCCGCTGCCAGGCAGGCAGTTCAGGCTACGGGGGTCCAGTGGGCAGAAACGAGACCCTGATGCTTGGGACACAGCAGGGGAAACTCCAGCCCAGCCCAGGACCCAGCACAGGGAGAAGCTCCTTCTACATGTGAGGTCCAGGGTGGCAAAGCTGGACACAGAAATGACATGTGTCTTTGTCACTGGCCCCATTGGCTGAGGAGACCCCCTGCAGAGCCCACCCACCTCCAAGTGAGGGCACTCCTCACCAGTGTCTTCTGCCTCCTCCCCTCAGGAGCTCCCAGCCCTACCTCCAGGCCATTGACAACATAAAGAACCTGTTCTCTTCGCGAAGGAGCAACATTTTCCAGCAGAATGACACCGTCTATGGCTTGACCTCAGAAGGCCGCAAGTTCTACCAGGCCTGTGATGTGGCCCATGAGCACACAGGTTGGTTCCAGCTCCTGGGCTGCTCCCCTCCCTCATCAGGCTCATCAGAGGGCCTGGCCCTGACCCTTCACCAGGACCTACCTGATGCCCCTTAGTATGCCAGTGCTGGGTACACTCCTGGTGCAGGGGCGGGGCTGAGATGGCAGGTGGCAGGCTCACTCAGGGGTGACGCCCAGTGGAGATGGCTGGATGAGACTGTTCTGCACAGACCGAGTGATCCGGGAGAGGAAGGCTCACCTGCAGAAGGAGGGAGAGCTGGAAAAGATCAGCGGGAAGAGGCACCTGGACTTCCTGGACATCCTGCTCCGTGCCAGAGTGAGTGCGCGGAGGGTCTCGGCTTTGCCCAGGCGGCCCCGGGAAGGCCCAAGCCCCCAGTGTCCCCTGGCCTTCTCCAGATGGAGAATGGGGACAGCTTGTCGGACGCGGACCTCCGGGCAGAAGTGGACACGTTCATGTTTGAGGGCCACGACACCACGGCCAGCGGCATCTCCTGGATCCTCTATGCGCTGGCCGCCCACCCTGAGCACCAGCACCGGTGCAGGGAGGAGCTGCAGAGCCTCCTGGGGGATGGCTCCTCCCTCAGCTGGTGAGTGCTCCGGGGGTGGCCGGCCCTGCCCACGGAGGAGAGAAGGCCCCGGAGCTGGGCTCTGCCCAAATCTGAGGATGCTTCTCTTTCAGGGACCACCTGGACAAGATGCCCTACACCACCATGTTCATCAAGGAGTCGCTGAGACTCTACCCTCCAGTGCCAGGCATTAGCAGGGATCTCAGCAAGCCCATCACCTTCCCTGATGGACGCTCCTTACCTGGAGGTAACATGGCCACTTCCCTCCCTCAGCACACCCCTGAGTGAGCTGGATACACAAAAACCATGTGTCCCAGGGAGCTCCTTCTTTGCCTGTATCTTCTTTCCTCCTCAGCAATATGCATACTCAATGAGCATGCAGTGTTGAATTGCAGGGCCCAGGACTTGCTCCCACAGAAGCTCAATCTTTAAATGTCAGCCCTGAATGTGGCTTCAGGAATTTAGATATTAAATTATGATTTCTTTCTCTGATTGGCTGCACTGAAATCAGTAGCTAGGAGCTCCCCGCCCCACCCCTTTGGACTCCAGGCGGGTTGGGGAGATCAGGGGCCCCCGACATAAGTGCATGGTCTGGGCCCTGAGCAGACATGGGGTGAATGCCGAGGAAGACAGACCTGAGAGCCCTGCTGTGCTGGCCAGCTCCCCTGTCCTCACCCTCCGGGGCTGACCCTGTCCTGCACATCCTGGCCACGAGTCCTTCATCCTGTGAGGCTACGGTGCCTCTGTGAGCCTTGGCCATGAGGCCCTTCCTGAAGGTGGCAGTGGGAACTGAATGCTCACAGAGGGGCGGGAATAATGTGAGTTGCGGCTAAAGTTGATGCCTAGGGAAGCGTCCAGCTCTCTGAGTGTTCCCTCCTGATCCACTCGCTCTCCCTAGTGTACATGGCTGAGCTGTGTCCACCCACCTGTCTTGGCACAGGATCATTTCACGCCCATCATGGCTGCCTGGCCCCAGGGCTTTTGCTCAGTCAAGTGCCCCTCTGGGCGTGGGCTGGGGCACCCCAGGGTCTTACACTTCTCCCATCCCACAGGAATCACTGTGATGCTCTCCATTTATGGGCTGCACCACAACCCCGATGTGTGGCCAAACCCTGAGGTAAGTGAGCCACAGCCTCACAGGCTCCCCCCCCACCCCGAGGCCACTCTCACCCCCAGGAAGGAGGAGCTGCCCTCCCTGGCCTGACCTTGTTACTCTCCCTGCAGGTGTTTGACCCGTCCCGGTTTGCTCCTGGTGCTAATCGGCACAGCCACGCTTTCCTGCCCTTCTCAGGAGGGTCCAGGTAGGCAGCCTGTGCTTGGGGGGATGGTGGGTCACTGAACGATATTCTAATGGGGACATTGTCCCCTATCATGTGTGTTCTCTGTGTTGATGCCCTGTGGTGATGCTCATTGGAAAGACATGGGTGTGTACAGGAAAGCATGGCATTTCAGGCTTGGCCAAGGAGGCTTAACCTGCCTTCTTTCCCAGAGGTAACACACAATTCAGTGTCAGAGACTGTTTTAAAATCAGTGTATTCCCTTTAGAAATACAAATCAGAAATAGATTTTTAAAAAAAAAATTAAATATATTCATTATATCATGCTTTGATTTTGTACAATGTATGGTTTCCCTGTGAAATTCCCACCACTAAGAATTAGCATTTTTCATAAAAATTAAACTCATTGCCTTCCCTGGCTACGCAGTGGTTGAAATTCAGCACTATGAAACTCTTGGCAGCCACTGCAGCACAGGTTTGATACCTGGCCAGGGAGCTGACCCACATGGCACAGCAGACCTGTCTCTCCTGCTGCTCCCCTCAGCAGTGTATTTCAGTCAATCCACGTGTTTTTCATCCCACTCTGTCTCAGGTAAATCCTCTCATCCCCACACCTCTGGCCTATATCCAAGTTCTGATATACATACATAAATAAATCTTTAAAAAATATATCATAGGGTGAGAAAAAAATTAAGCCTCAAACATTTATTTCTCAGGCAGTGGTGATTAAAAACTGGCTTTCTCCCTGCCCCTGTTCTCAGTTCACCCAGTGCCTGTTCTACTGAATTCACCAGTGCACATCAGGAATCATGTGGTAGAATTTCCAGTCCCTCTTATCCTAACTTTTCAAGATATAGAAACTGTCCTAAGTTGTCCTGTATCTTGAGGCTTAATTTTATCTTGTCCTACCTGTTCAAGATATAGAAAAATGTTTACAGTAGCCATATGGAGAAGCTTTATACCTGTTTCTGTGTTCTCCATTTTTTGGATGTATTCATCAACAGAATATTGAGTATTTATATTTATATAAGAATGAAATTTAGATACCATTGGCCCAGAGACTACAAAATTCACACTGGAAAAACTAAAGAAATGAGGAACAGGAACAACATGACAGAAAATCATTACACTTGTGTATATACAGAACCTATAAGTACTCTTGTGAAAAAGAAAAAGAACACGAGAAATTGTTGAGCTGGCCAAGTACACTTCAAATGGCTTCTATGAATATCTAATCATCCTCAAGATACTGACTGCCTTGTATTTTGTAAACAGTTGTTACAGAAATATCCTTTACCAACCCACACTTCTGTGCCTTTCACTTTTGTGCATCATCGTTCACAGAATCCTTTAGCTAATTGTGCCCAGGACTGCACTAAGATTTGGTTTCAGGACTGAGGGCTTCTTCTTAGTCCACAGCTTCTGTTGTGCCGCGACTAGGGGCGAGGGCACAGGGGGTCTCCATTCCTTGGTCAGAACGAATGTTGGCCTTTGTGTGACTCATTGCCGGTAATTTTTTAAGTTCCAAACCTTAATTAAAATGTGAAGATTGTGTAAAGCTTCTCTCTGGGTTCAGAGTCCTATGCTAGCATTTGGGAACATAGATGCAAGACACTTGCACCTTGAGCTAAGAGTTCACTGTCAAGAACAAATCCCTCTACTCAAGACAGGTCATTTGTTCTTCTTTCACTTACTCGCTCACTCAGAGTGGCTGTAGACTGGCTGTGGCTCATGTTCCTGACACTGTTCTGGGTCCTGGACATTGATGGGTCCCGAATGATAGATTAATGATGACTTGTTGCGGGGTGGCAGCAGTGCAGTGTTGCAGGGGGCAGGCCAGGTAAAGCTAGAATTAGCCTTAGGCTGTGGCAGGAGAGGCGGAGGGCATTTTCAAGGATCTCAACGTGAGCTGAGCCAGGACAGATAAAACATATAAGAGGTGAGTGAGGGAACAACCAGAGCAGGATTGTTGTCCACCAAGTCACTGGGACATGACCTACCTGTCAGGACAGGGCTGGGGTTGAGACAGATGTGCCAGATGGGGAAAAAATGGAATAGCAAAAGGACATCCTTGTACTAGGGAGCTGCAGAGTGGTTCATTGAGGGACTGAGGGAGGAGGCAGACGGTCCGACTGGTTGCAGGTCATGGGGCATGTGGCCTTGGTTCCCGCTCAGCATCTGACCTCTCTCCACAGCCCCATTCTGTCTACACTGGGAGGGCCAGGGTTCCCTTGAGTCCTCCTAGATGTGTGGCTTGAGCGTGTGTCCCGCCACGCCCCTCCCCATCATGCCCTCCGACAGCGACGCCAAGCACGGCTTGTGCAGGGCGAGCAGTCGCGTCATTGGCTGCTTTTGTGGCTCAGCTGACCTGACTGTGGCTTGGAGCACTGGCCGCCCTGACAGGTCCTCGTGAGCCAAGAGCACAGGTGGACGAGGGTGACCCAGGAGGAGGGCCAGACCCTCGTCACTGTCAGGGCAGAGTGGGGACCCATTAGGGGTAGAGTGTGTGACCCTAAGGATGAGGTCGGGGCTAGGTGTCACTGAAGGGGACCGCGAATGCCCACTCCCGGCCAGCGCTCAGTGGCCAGTCTCCCTCAACGTAGTGTTGGGCTGGCTTCATTTCTCATTTCATTTTCCACCCTTGCCCAGGAACTGCATCGGGAAGCAGTTTGCCATGAACGAGATGAAGGTGGCCGTGGCCCTGACTCTGCTCCGCTTTGAGCTGGCGCCAGATCCCTCCAGAATCCCCATTCCAAGTGCAAAAGTTGTGCTGAGGTCAAGCAATGGAATCTACCTGCGCCTCAAAAAGCTACAGTAACCACATGGATGTGAACCAGCCTGAGGGCCTCCTGCCGGGGTCCCGTCTTGCTTTCATCTGCTCCTGCCTCTGGCCACGTCCTGCTTCTGTGTGCCCACCCAGGCCAACCTACATGCTGGTCTGTTATCAGAACCTGACTTCCCCCACCTGTTGCACATGTCCTGTTTTCTGTCCACCTGGCGCCACCCACCTTCATTTCAACTCTCCACTCTGACATGCTCTCTGTCCTAAGTCTTCTGTCCATTCCCTGATTTTTTTCTTTCTTTTCTACTCTGAACCTCTATAGGTTTCCTCCCGCCACTGTAAGAAGTTACCACAAACTTAGTGGTTTACAACCACACAGATTTATAATCTTAACACTTAGGAATCAGTAGTTGGAAATAGGTTCTACTGAAGACGCTCTAAGGGAAAAGTTTTTTCTGTCTTTTCCAGTTTCTAGGACTTGACTCTTAATGTCTTTCAGTGATTGCAATCGCTGCTCCCATATGACCAAGGAAATCTTCTTAAGTCAACTGATTGTAGATGTGAACCATCTCCAAATACAAGCATCTAGAGCATTCTACATAACTGCTTACCTGACTCCACATAAGACTAAACTCCGTAGTCCCCCTGGTGACCTGGCTTTCACACACTTCCCCTTCAACTCCTTGTCATCTAACATAAAGCCTTGACTATCTTCCCACATGTGCCAAGCCCCTGTGCATCACTGAAGAGCACAAAGCTCCCTGGAGACAATGAAACAGCCCTGAAGGATGTTACCCTCCTCCCTGGCCCTGCACAATAAATGCTTTATTAACACATCTTGTGTTCCGTGTGAAGGGGATACAGAGGATCCCAAAAATCTCTCTCTCACACACACACACACACATTCATGTGACAAAAGCAACTTTCATTTTGAAATGAGGAATGGTGTGCAAATAATTATAGCCCTGTTTCTGCAACTGGTCATTGGCCACAACCTGCATTTATAACTACCTTCTCCCACCCCCATTCCATCCTCACTTTGTCCACAAAATCATTGGAGATATTTGTAGTTCTTTGGTGGTGACGCAGGAAGTTTCCCACATCTGCAGAGATTCTGCTTTCTTCCAGTCTGCCACTTGGGGGAATCTGCTGCTTTGATGTTGCTGCTTGCTGGAATGGAGAAATTGCTGGGTATATACTGCTCACAGTGGTGGTCATGACTACCTTGACCCCTTTCCCGATCAATAAAGAATGCTTATGCTGTCATGGATGGGATGGCAAGTTTCCTCATACAAACTCTATAAAACTTTACCATTCCTGTAATTCAGGGCTCCGAACTTGGGGACCATCCACACTGATCCCACCATGTAGCAATTAAATGTTTCTCTCTCCACCTCCCTGAGTGCCGCCTGATTTCCCTGGGAAATTGCCACAACATTTTGGGTTACTGGCAGGAACCCAGCCTGCTGGCCACTTTGGCTACCGGTCTGTATTGGGCCATGCCTGGCAATTCTCCTTTGAGCGAGCGAAGCATTACCATCCACCCTTTGTTGGGTGCGCCTTCCTGAGGTGAGCTGAGCTGGGGCACCACCTTCATACCTTACCTGAACTCACAGAGAGAGGTGGACAGACCAACCCCTTCAGGACTTCTGGATAAGGTAAGGCCCTGGTAAAGTCCAACCCATCCCAAGGGACAGGAGGGCGCGGTCACCTTTCATGCCCTCTTGTGGAGCCAGGTAGAATTTCTTGGTGGGTGGACCACATAACTTCTGTTTTGAGTGTGTGTGCATCTCTAAATGGTCCCACAACTTTGGTTATGGGATCTGAGTGGTCTTGTCCTGCGTTTCTGTGACATGTCATAAGGCCTATAAGTGACCTTTTTCACGGCACCAGTCCAGGACTTCCACATGACTCCCGTACAGCCAAAATCGTCTTCCAGTTCCAAGAGGAATGTGGCCAGGCAGGAAGGTGTGTAGTCCTCTCCCTTTTTGTTGTGGCACCAAACACAAAGTGGCGGGACTCAGCGTCAATTCACCATCCTTCACTGCATGATCCAGAATTTTAAGAAGGAGTTCCAGGAAGAGGCCTAGTTTCCAGGTTCAATAGGCCTCCAGAAGGAACTTTTGCTCTCCCCACAGTCCCGCAGTGTGGCAAGTTGTGGCGGGATCCCCAGGCCACACTGGTCAGGTCCCTTATACTGACTCATGGCTGACCATTGCTCAGTCCCAACCCGCTTGGGTCCACCCTTGTAGTGTAGGCCAGGGAGATCGGTCCTTGTTGTTCATGACCACCCAGTGCTCAGCCGCCACCACTCCCGCCCATCCATCAAGGTGAGCCCCCCCCCAAGGGTGACCTGCCACCACCGCCTTATCTGCTTGCCAGACCCTTGGCCCCATCCCTGCCAGAGCCTAAAACTGCTCTATCAACTGACCTGTGGTCTTCTCCAGCGTCTGACCCTGCCTTGCCATTTCTTCCCAAGCCTGTGAATCCAGTCCCCCATAGATTCCATTCAGCCCAGGCCCCATCCCCGCAGCTGCCTCTTGGAGAGGCCCAGCAGCCTCTGTCGCTGCTGACGATGGCCCCGTTGGGACAGGCACTCCTGCTCTTTATTACCAAACTTTTACCATGACCAAGCTTCTGGGTTGGAAGCACCACACTCCTGCCCATTCAGAGGAGACACAGACCCTCCTAGGCTGCTTAGAGCCCATCTGACAGACTTGGGATAACTGTCATCGACTCCTCTCACCCTTCTCGGTGCTGAGAAGTGCTGTTAAGTACTCACAGAAGCCAGACCATGGCTCCAGGACCAGACACCAGAGGTACCCTATTCTGTGGCCACCTGGGCAGCCCCTGACAATCCCCCAGACTGGGACTTCTGAGGATGGCAGAGCTGCATTCAGCTGCTATCAGCAGGCTCTCATGATGGGGTTGGAGCAGGGGCCAAAAAGTCAACCGGCATGGCTAAAATGGCTTCTGTCATTCAAAAACCTATTTCTGTGAGCATTTGTGTGAGACCTTCTGCATTTACACACTTTTTGATCCAGAGTCAACAAATGGTTAATGTGGGCTTTGTGTCTCAAGTAGCGCTGACATCCATCATGAGCTCCAGAAGCTAGAGGGCTTCACTGGTATGAACACCACTCAACTAAAGTAGCCAATAAAGTTTTTGGCAAATTTACCCCAGTTGTGCAGACCTCTTGGATCAGCCAATGCCTGCCCAGACCTTGAACTTTTATAGAAGAAAGCAGCTTCATCAAGGATGGCCTGCATGATGCACGGTATGCAGTCACTACTGTTGACTGGCTTGTAGAATTGGGACTGCTCTCCAGATCTGGATCAGCTCAGCAGGCAGAGCCCTGGGGCCTCATCTGTGCCCTTCAATTGGCAAAGGATCTATCAGTCAACATCTATACTGATCCTATACTGATTCTTTATACATGTTTCCCACCATCCCCATACATGGGGCCATCTACAAAGAAAGGGGCCTTTTAGATTTGGGGTGAAAAAGATAAAGAACAAGTCTGAAATCCTCCAGTTGCTAAAAGCAATCTGGTGCCCAACCAAAGTCTCAGTCACTCACTGCTGAGGATATCAAAAAAGAACTGATAAAGTCATCAAGGAAATCAGCTGGTCGACATGAAAGCCAAGCAGGCACAGGCCAGTAGAGACAGGACCCTCTGGGAAAAATTCTTCCTGGTGCCATTGTACCCCCTGCTTGTCCTCCACAGGAACAAAACTCCCTAGAGGAGACAGCTTGGATCAAAAATGAGGGAGAAACTAAAACACCTGAGGGGTGGTGGCTCCTACAGGGTGGACAAGCTTTTGTTCCCACTCAGGCAGCAGGTGAGTTGGTGCACCAAGACCATGAGGTGACTCATGTGGGAAAAACAGCCATGGAGGCACTGATCAATCGCTATTTCGGTTACCATCCTTCTGTGCCACAGTTGCCTCCAGATGTCAGACTTGTGCACAACACAGCCCTACCCAGTGGCTTAGGCCACCACAGTGTATGCAGCACACGGCTCCTCCCCTTTTGAAGACCTGGAAGTGGACTTCACTGAAGTCAAGCCTTGTAGAGGCTACAAATATTTATCTATGTCTGTACCTGTTCCAGGTGGGTAGAGATTTTCCCACCAGAACAGAGAAGGTTCAAGAAGTCACCAAAACTCTTGTGACAGAAATAATTCCAAGATATGGGTTCCCCTTGACTATTGGCAGTGACAATGGCCCAACCCGTACTGTTAATATCATTTTCAACTGACTCACGCACATGGTATGCAAACATTTTCTCCCAGTCAGTGGGCTGTTGCTTTGGTTAATGTCTCTTTTGCTGTACAGAAGCTCTTAAATTTGATACATATATTCATCTTTTCCTTCACCTTCTTTGCTTTATGTCGGGACCAACCCCAATATCAGGCTGTTGAGAGGCTGACACAGGCAGGGTCTCAAGGAAGGAACGGCCGATATTCTAAAATTGGGGCGATATTCTAAAAACTGGGGAGTAAAGGGGAGAGGGAGTGATGAGAGTTGGGTGCAAGTCTTCCTGCTCTGCCTTTAGCAGAGGTTTATTTTATACACTTCAGGCAAGCAGAGGGATGACATTAGCATATGAAATGGGCTGAGATCACAATCACCTTTTTGCTAAGAATAGTCTGGGGTCATTTTGATCTTTAGTTGAGATTATAACATTTTTTAAAATCAATCCATCAAGGTTAAAACAAGTACATAGATTCACAAAGTTTAAGGCTAATATTACTATATTTACCACAGTGAAGATTAACCAAAATAAAGTCCCTTAAACGTTATCCATTACTTAAAGGCTTTCATTCTCATAGAGATATCCTAGGGGGTAAAGTAAAATGAGGGCAGGAAGAGGAAATTTCTTGTAAATCAAATTAAGGTAAGGTTCTTTGAAAAACTTGTTAAAAGGTTTTAAGTGAGTTTTCTTAAAGTCTAGATGGTAGAAAACCTGACTAGCTCTGCATAGGCGACTTGGGTAAATTTCCATATCCAAAGACTAGATAGTAGAAAGCTTGAGTGGTTATTTAGAAACTGAATAAAAGGCTGTGAGAGATAGAGTGATAAGATTTGGGTTTTCCTCAGTCTGGCAGTGAGAGACTTTGCAGGAACAGCCATTTGTTTTTATTAATCAGCCAGTTGTTTAATGACTTTTGACTTCAAGAGGAATTTCTCACCCTGGTGCAGTGCTTGCTTGTCAGGGTCAGGTAGTGCCTTCTGAGGCTGAGGCAATTCAATTGTAAGCTGAAGGTTGCTCAGAATATTTTGATATTATGATTACACAAAAAAGGGAGGTCATAACATAAGTTAGCAGTGGAAAGTCTGATTTTTCAGAGCTTTTCCCGATCTACCCGGAATCTGTCAGAAGATAGACATTGCATAGCTTGTGTCAGCTTTAGGTGATGTGTCTTTAACGGGTATTACTGAGATGTATATCATGTAGTGTTTTGCCTATATTTTCTTCTATATATTTTATGGTGTCAGGTCTTTGGTCTTTTATACACTTTTAGTTGGTTTTATGTTGGTGTGAGGTAGTAGTCTAGCTTCATTTTTTTTTTTTTTTTTGCAGATAGCAGTTTGAACCCTGACTTTAAAAAAATTTTTAAGTATATTCATTATATCATCCTTCATTTTTGTACAGTATATGGTTTCCCTGTGAAATTCCCACACCAGTTCACTCCTGCACCATCACCATAATCTGTTGTGCTCTTCCCACTCCTGTCCTGGTCCTTTATTCTTCTCCCCTATAGAATGCCTCTGATCTATAGTTGCCTGATGATTTTTATTTTTACTTTATTATAGTTACTTTTCCCCCCTGATTCCTCTTTTGTTTTCTCTACATTCCTCCTATAAGTGAGACCATTCAATAATTTTCTTTTTCTTTCTGGCTTATTTTGCTGAGCATAATCCTTTCCAGCTCCATCCATGTTGCTGCAAAGGGCATGAATTTATTTTTTTCAATTGCTGAGTAATATTCTGCTATGTAAATATACCACATCTTCTTGATCCAGTCACCTACTTCGGGCATCTGGATTGCTTCCGTAGCTTACCTATTGTAAATTGTGCTGCAATAAACATAGGGGTGCAGGTTGGACTCTGATTCTTAACATACTTGGATCAACACCAGCTTTTCACTAACAGCACAAAGACAATACAGTAATAGAACTTTGCAATCACAAAACATAGGTTTGAATTTTGACTGTGTATGTATCTCCCTTTCTCTCTCTAAATCCTCAGTTCCCTCTTTTTGTGTGGACTCTTAATGTTTGCTAGTAGCTAAAGCTTATTAAGTATTATATGTTCTAGGCACCGAGCAAGGAGTTTCATACTTTTTCACAATAATCTTACAAAACAGATTTTTTTTAAAAAAAATCTCCATTATCAGGGCCCTCCCTGGTGGCACAGCGGGTTAAAGCACAGCACTGGGAAGCTTAAGCCACTTCCGCATGAGTTCGATTATGCCTGCCCCGGAGGTGACCACATGGCTGGGCAGACCTCTCCTGACCCACCCTCTGTTCCCCTCAGCAGTGTACTTCCTCGATCTGCCTGTTCTGCTCCCCACTCTGTCTCTGGTGAATCCTCTCACCCTGCGCATCTCTGGCCTGTACCCCGGCTCTGTATGAATAAAGAAATAAATCTTTTTTTAAAAAATCTCCATTATCTATGTAAGGAACTAATGCACAAAGAGTTTAACTCTTATGCAAGTGAGCCTATTAATGAGGTTGCACCAACATACAAATCAAGGCAGACAGACTCCAGACACCTTGCTATTATCCACTAAGGCAAAGAGGTGATTATTAGGTTGAGACACCAGTCCATACACGGAGACCCCCAAACTTTGGGGGTGGGGCACATTTCATGTTAGATTTGTTCAATTTAGTGTTTCCAAGTAGCAAGAGAGTCTTTCAGGTTATCAGCACACATTGGAAAATGAGTCTCTCTTGGAGACAATTTTTATGAGAAAGTTTCAGGCAAGCCATGTGTCTAGATGTAGCAATCATTGAAAATGATGTCTATGGAGAATTCTAATGATATGAGAAATCATACAATGAAGTGGCCAAAGCAGAACACAGAACTGAAAAAAGGTGAGTTCAATGCTTACAATGGTTGTGCTTGCAATGGTCAACATTTGCTATCAGCAACATCTTTCCTTGTCTTAGGTATACACATACCCCAAGATCATAACAAGATTCCATGTCCATACACCTCCCATGGGACACTCAGTGCTTACTGGGCCCAGTAAATCCTTGCTGGTTTCATGATGAGTGGATCAATGAGGAGGGAACAAAGGAAGCCTTAGACAATTAGATCATTACCTTTAACAGAGAAGATCTGATTCTGAGTGCCATTTTTAAAGGAAATTATTAGTAATTTTAATCCTGAATGCTTCCTGGTTCCTGTTATAGACAACAGCAAAGCAGAGAGAGGCAGTCAGTCATGTTGGCATCTGGACAAGATCAGTCCTGATCTCTTGATAAAATTGGCATTGATTCATGTTAACTTGTTTGTTTTCTCTATTCCACATGACTTCAACTCCAAGATCTTTTACCTAAATATTTGTCTGCATTTCCCACTCAAGAAAAACCACATAATTCATAGGTAAGGACATTCTGCCTGCCACTTAGAAGTGAGAAAGGAGGTGAGAAAGGGAAGTTTCCTACTCCGTGCCCTGGTTGGTGCTGGCAAAAGTAAAATTTGTGGGTAAGAACATTCTGTACCTTCCACTTGGAGTGAGAGAAGAGGTGAGATAGGGAGATTACTTACTCAGTATCCTGCATGGTTCTGGCAAAAGTAAAACTTCACCCAAATGTCTCTCATTTGTTTAGTAATGAACTTTCCAAAGCACAACTACAAGTGCAACTCAAGGTAGCAGGAAAATTAACTTTATCTTACAAACAAGAAAACTGAGACCCAGGGATGTTAATTGACGTTTCTCAGGGCCACACTGCAGGATAGTCTCAGTGCTTGGACAACCACCTCAAATGTCTAACTCCAGTTCCTAGTACCTGACTTCAACTCAAGGTGGCGCAACAAACATTCATCATTCAAGAGAAAGGAAGAATGTTCATCTTCCACCCAAGAACACACAGTATCTTCCCATTTATCTGTGTCTTTTATGTCTAGTTTTTTAACAATGCCTCACATTTTCCAGTGCGAAGGTATTTTGTGTCCTTTGTAAATTTATTTCTAGTGTTTTATGCTTTTGATGTGATTGTAAGTGGAATTGTGTTCTTCATCTTTCTTACAGCTTTGTGTGTGTGTGTGTGTGTGTGTGTGTGTGTGTGTGTGTGTGGAGAGAAACACAAAGATTTTGTTATTGATTTTGTATCCTATCACTTTACTCAACTTACTTATTGTGTCTGATAGGTTTTTGAGTGGAATAGCTACAGCTTAGGTTTTTGAGTGGAATATCTACAGCTTTTTTGTTTATTATCATGTCATCTACAAAGGTGATTTCCTTACATCTTTTCCAATTTGGTTCCCTGTTATTTCCTTTTCTTGCCAACTCTATGACCACACTGAAAGCATTAATGTTAGTCATCTCCTGTTACAAAATGAAAGGGGTTCAGCAAAATTCTGTGGCTATATCTATAGGGCTTCAGTGAAGTTGAACTGGAACTGGTGTTGTGCCTTGACAGATGAAAAAAAGAAAAAACTGTAGCCCCAATTAAGCATATGTATGGAGGCATTAAAGTAGACCTGCCAAGAGAAAAGCATTATAACTAAGGTTATGTAGAGGCTTTGAAATTCTCATGTATTTGAATGGAGAAGGAATCATGCTATTGATACTACAAAACCAGTCTCTCCAATGTCTCAAAATGGTGCTTAAAAGGCTGATATATTTACAGCTCTTGATTTATATCATCAGTCAGTTAATAGAAAGAACACAGTGTTCATTATTTCTCAGTCAATATATAGTTCAAACAGGTTGCTATGGCAAATACAATTAATATTCTAAGAAGACAAAAATTTCAGTATTTAAAGATTTAGTTAATATTAAATTATGAATTTACATATCAAAATGAATTTTCTGTTGCTTCATAAAACAAAAAAAGCTACCAAATAAACCTTACTGACTTAATTAAACTAGAATATGAAACCCTTGAAATCTGTTTTGTTTACTACTGCATGAAATACCTAACATACTGTTTGGTACATAGTAGTAACACTACTTAATTGGTGAGAAAACTGTTAAGTGGAAAGTTAACATCTACACAGTCTTTGGCAATTTCACCTGAAACATCTTTCCCTTAATGTTCTAAAGTGTATCACAGTTAAGAAGCCACTTGTGGTGCCTGAGCGCTAAGCTCTGCCCTCACCTCCTCTCCCCCACCCCCATGTGGGTGGGACATCCTTCCACAGGGAGGATTGATGTAGTAGAGCAGTAGACAGCCAGCCACACAGACGCTGCTGCACCACGAGCGCCTCCGTGCCGAACCCCTCCCGCTCCCTAGCCAGCATGTCTGGGCTCCTGCAAGTGGCCTGCCTGCTCAGCCTGGTCCTGCTGCTGATCAAGGCCGCCCAGCTCTACCTGCACAGGCAGTGGCTGCTCAAAGCTGTCCAGCAGTTCCCAGCTCCGCCCTCCCACTGGCTCTTTGGACACTCCAAGGAGGTAGGAAGAGAGGGGAGGCCAGGGAGGGCTGGGTTCTCAGAGCAGTCACGGTCAGCAAGTCACTGGACAAAGCCTTGCTGCGGGACCTTCACTTGGCCTCCAGGGGAAGCCCAGCTCACCTCTCAGGTCTTGGCTCTTCATTGTAGTCAACAGAGCTCTCTCCCTCAGGGAAGCCTGGGCTGGTGACGCAGGTGGGGGACACCCCTTCCTCAGGCAGGTCTGCAGGGTGTCCTGGCAGCCTGCTCTTTGAGGACAATGCCTGCTCCTCTCTGGGTCTTCCTAGGATGTTGAGAAACATCTTTTTTTTCTAAACGCTTTCTTGCTCTGTTGCTGGTCTTCATCATGCTTGGGAGCACTGACATCACCTGAATGATCCCTGCCCTATACCATAGACAGGAATCAAGTGACAGGAAAAAAGCTCACCTGCCAGGGTGAACACAGGACCAACTGGCTAGACTTGCTCCAATGAATTTTTTGGCATGGAACTTTGAGAACGTAACGATTCCCAGACAAATGTAATAATCAAACCCCACAATGGCCTCTAAGAAGAGGTAAATGACATTTGACTTGTGCCAAAAACAAATCTGTTTACTTATTCTGGACTGTCAGGAGATTTTGTGGACATAGCATTTTGAAGGCTTACATTGTGCCATTCCCAGGTAAACCTAAAGAACCAAGCCCCAGGAAGGCCTCTAGCAAGGAGCACTGATATTTTATTTGTGATATGACACAAGTCTGCTTCCCACTGGGCTCTGGCCATGAGCGCTACAGGCTGCATCTGTCACTCCGTTCCTGCATCTCAGTTCCCACCAGGAGCCTGGCCCAGACAGATGCTTATCCCCGTCGGGGTGAGTGTCTGAGGAAGGGCAGCAGGAGCAGCTTGCAGGCTGGGCAGGTGCACCGTGACCCACACAGCAACCTTGCTCTAAGTATGGGACTTGAGGCTGCGGAGGGAGGCCACTGTGTTCTCAGAAGAGAACAGTCCTTCTCAGCAGAGTTCACTGAAGATGGGGCTGTTAAAATCAGTCACAGAGAAAATCTATCACCCTGTTCCCAGTACCCAGAGATGGCAATCAGGTGTTTGGAGTGACAGAAGGAAGCAGGACAGGTAAGTGCTGGCTAAGGGAAGAACAGTGCCCTAGCCCAGTCTTCCTGCGATGAGCCTGAGTGGTAAAGAGGGGTGAACTGTGGTGGCACGTCAAAGTAACCTAAGAAGGCAGACGAAGAGGGACCCATACATGATTTGTGTATTAAACAAAAATTAGATGGAAATGAGGTAAGAATGGGTTAGCAGAGAGCTGAGACCACTCTTCTGACAGAGATTATCAATAGATTACAGCCAGAAGGAAACTGGAAATGGCCAGAGCCTCACAGGAGCAGTACCCAATACCCAATACCCAATCTCTGCCTCCTGTCTCCTTCCTCATCTTCTCTGTGACCCTTGGTCACTCCGTGTCCTCCCTCCTGACTGTACATCTGGCCTTGGCCCTCTGCTCACGCTGGGCCCTCCACCTTGCTGGCCTCGTCCCTCCTCGGTCATCTGACAAAGCCCAGCCCAAACCACCTCCTGCAAGTGCTCTCTCAGGATACAGGGACAACTCCTGCCCCGCGTGGTCTCCCAGAACAGCACCTCCTGCCCAGCCCCTTTGTCTGTGGGGTCCCAGCTGTGAGCTCTTCTGGAGACACCGCCTCTGGCTCAGCTGTTAACCTGCTAGTCTTGGTGACTGATGCCTCCTTGAGTGAGCAAGGGCACGAGGGGCTGTGTCCTGTCCACTCACAGTCAGGCCCCTTCTGCAAAGGCTGGGCTTCCTTCCTCACAGAGTAGCTCTGTCTACTGTCCTGCTCTTAATCTTCCTTTCCATCCCAAACAGACCGGAAGCACCACACAGATAAAGGCTTGTACCCTAGCCTGCCTCAGTGTCTGACTCAACGCTGCCTCAGTGTCTGACTCAACGTGTGGGTGCCCACGGGCTGGGAGCTGACAGAGGGACCCTGTCCACAGTCGGGCCAGTTGTCTCAGAGCTGGGGGATCCTGGTGTCAGAGGGACACACACAAAGCTCAGAGACTGCAAAGCAGGGGGCTGCCTTGAATTACACGTCACAGTTGGAACAGAGAAGAGTTGACTACATGGAACATGTCTAGATCCAAATGTTTCTGAGAATTCCAAGGGAGTAAATTAAATCTGAGTCTTGAAGTTGAAGGGAGGCATTTGCTGGTGATGAAGAAGGGGTGCCCCAGCTAGAGAAGGAGCTGTGCCCAGGTGAGGGGGGCAGGCCCAGCTGGGGAGGAGCAGCAGTGCCTGTGGGGGGGGCAGGGTCCTGGGGGTGTCAGGTCAGCAGGAGGCAGTAAGGCAGGAAAAGTGAAACAGGGGTTTTATGCTCCAGATTGAGGAGTTTCAAATGTCTACTTCAGGCAGCAGGCCACTCACAAAGGTTGGTAAGGGGAAATGAGATAGAAAACCCCAAGTATCATACTTCAACATAAATATCATGTGTGCATTCAGATATTGCCTTAAATTGTGTAGAATATATCGTATAGACAACTGAGTTTTTCTTTCTTAGTCATATAGATATCAAAGCTATTTCACATTCACTAGAAATTACCTGTGTCCTGGATAATAATGAAAATCTACAACAACAAACATGGCAAATAAATATTAATATAAAAATAATACCTTTCAGTTTTTTTCTCAAAATTAGCAAAATTCTATGACAAAAATGCTCTCCAGTTGGTACAAGTGCCAAGCAGTCATTCACAGAAATGTTGATGTAGTGATTCCCAAAGTTAGTACACCATCAAGTCAATCTCTGAGTTTCTGTACACTGGTCATAACTGTCATGGTAAGGCCACAGCTCCACCCAGAACTGACCTCAGTTAAGGCCATGGGCAACCACCAAAACAGGACAAGTGTCCAAGTCTAAGGGAACAAGACTGAACTTTTCCTTCCACTACAAGATCTGGAACGATTTCCCTGTGACTGCCCTGCCTTCACCTCCACCCATGCATGAATAAAAAGCTTTGATTTTTTTCCCCCTTGGTACAGTTCCAAAAGAATGAGCTAAAGCAAATACTGAAAAGGGTGGAGAAATTCCCTACTGCAAGTCCTCGCTGGCTCTGGGGAACAAAGGTCCTGTTTCTGGTCTACGACCCTGACTACATGAAAGTGGTTCTCGGGAGGTCAGGTGAGAACAAACACACTCCCCACCAGGAGTCCCTTCTCCCAAGTGAGCACCTAAACCCTGGTCTCTGAATTTCAGCAGTCTATCTTCACAGTTAACCATCTCCCAACATTCTCCAGTGCACAAGTCAGGCTAAGTCATGGCATGTGTTTTTCACAGGGTCTAAATACCCCATACTGAGGGGTGAGGAACCCTGGGGAACAGAGATTACTTATCATATCCTCTAGGCTTATTGGAAATAACCAGCTGTCACTAGCCCTGGGGTTACTAAGTAACCATCTATCCTTGGTAAATAGTCCTTCCTACACTCTTATATTATCTCAATTTTCCAGGATGCTGAATTACACATTATGCTCAAAGTTGTTTTGTTTACCTAAGGTATTTCTTCCTAAAAATATTTTTAATTTGCAATTTGTAATTAATTTTTTAATTTATATCTTTTACATCATTGTGTATTCCCCATAATATTCCCACCACCAGTTAAACGTGAACCATCACCATAATCCCTTGTGCACTTTTTCACCCTGTTTTGATCCCTTTCCCTCCCTCTTCCTCAGTGAATGCTTCGTATTTGTGATTGCCAGCTAGTTTTCTTGTTTGTTTGTTTTATTATTATCATTTTTTTCTTGACCCTGATCTAGTTCCCCTATAGTCCTCCTATAAGTGAAACCATTCAATAGTTTTCTTTTTCCTTCTGGCTTATTCACCAAGCTTGATCCCTTCAAGTTCTGTCCATGTTGCTATGAATGCCATGAGTTTATCTTTTTGATTGATAAGTAATTCCACATGTGTGTGTGTGTGTGTGTGTTATCTTCTTGACCCAGGCACCTATATTTGGGCTTTTGTGTTGTTTCCATATCTTATCTACAATAAGCTGCAATAAACATTAATTTAAAAGGTGTCCTTTTGAATTAATGTTTTTGAGTCTTTGGGCATATTTGTAGCAGTGGAATTGCTGGGTCACATGGTATCTCCATTTTTAGTAGTTTGAGGAACCTCCAGACAGTTTTCCATAGTGGTTGGGCCAGGTTGCATTCCCACCAGCTGTATAGGAGTGTTTCTTTTTCTCCACATCCTCGCCAACATTTGTTGTTGCTAGTTTTTTAATATACGCCATTCTCACTGTGTAAGGTAGTATCTCATTGTGGTTTTGATTTGCATTTCCCTGATTATAAGTGATGTTGAACATTGTTTCATATACCTGTTGGCCATTTGCATTCCTCCTTGGAGAAGTGTCTTTTTAGCTCTTCTACCTTTTTTTTTTTCTTTTTTACTGGATTGTTTACTTTGCTTTTGTTGCCTCATGTTAGCTCTTGTAGATTTTTGCAATCAGTCCCTTATCAGCAGTATGTGTGCAAAAAATTTTCTCCCAATCAGTGGGCTGTTTCTTTATTTTGGTTAGTGTCTTTTTGCTGTACAGAAACTTTCATTTTGATATGCTCCCAGCTGGTTATTTTTTCCTTCACTTGCTTTGCTTTGGGAGATGTGTCATTAAAGATGTTACTAAAATGTATGTTATATATTATTTTGCCTGTATTTTCTATATATGCTATAGCTTCAGGTCTTATGTCCAATTCTTTAATCCATTTTGAGTTGGTATGAGGTAGTAATCTAGCTTCATTTTTTTGCAAGTAGTGTCCAGTTTTCTCAGCACCATTTATCCATTTATTGAACAAGCAGTCCTCATTGCATTGCATATTTTTTGCTCCTTTGTCAAAGATTAGTTGTTCATAACTAGGTGGTTATTTTTATGGGTTTTCTATTTGATCCTACTCATCTGTGTGTCTTTTTTGTTATAGTACCAAACTGTTTTAATTAAGACTTTATAGTATAGTAGGAAATCAAGAAGCATGATACCTCCATTCTCTGTCTTTATTAAGGAGAAATTTGACTATTCAAATTTTTTGTGCTTCCATATGAATTTCATCAATATTTGTTCTATTTCTTTGAAGAATGTCATTAAAGTTTTCATCAGAATAGCAATGAATCTGTAAATTGCTTTTGGTAGGATAGCTATTTTGGTAATATTAATTCTTCCAATCAATGAGCAAGGGATTTTGCTCTATTTCTTTCTGTCTTATTCTATTTCTTTAAATAGTGTCTCATAGTTTTATTTGTATAGATGTTACACCTCTTTTGTTAGGTTTATGACCAAATATTTGATTTTTTGTTTGCAGTTATAAAAAGGGTGTTTTTTCCCCCTTCTTTACATTGACTGTTTACATATAGGAAAGCTACTTATTGTTTTATGTTGATTTTGCGTACTGCTACTGTTCTAAACTGGTCTATAAATTTGATTAGTTTTTCTGTGGAGTTTTTAGGATTTCTATGTATATTAACATATAGTCTGCAAATATTGATAGTTTTACTTCTTTCCCTATTTGGATGTATGTCTTTCATTATTGCCCTGGCTAAGACTTCCAGTATTATATTGAAAAACAGTGGTGAAAGTGGACATCCTTGGCTTGTTCCAGATCTTAAGGGAAAGGCTTTTAGTTTTTCACCGTTAAGTGTAGTGTTGACTGTGGTCTTGTCATATATGGTTTTTATTATGTTAAGGTATGTTCCTCCTATCCCAAGGATTTCAGGGTGATGATGAAATATGATGTTGAACTTTGTCGAATGCTTTCTCAGCATCTGTTGATATGATTGTATGGTTTATATTTTGCTTTTTTTAATGTATTGGATTACACTAATTGATTTTCAGATGTTCATATTGAAGTGATTGCTTAAACAGTTCTGAGGGGACAAGTATCTATACATTTATATTTTTCTTCTTCAACTAAATTATGATTCTAATCAGTATTTTCCTGGATATAAAAGAATGGTTCCAATACACAGTGACTTTGGTTTGGGCACCATTAAGTATTGCCTGTCCTAGGTCATGGGATGGCTAAGCCACCACAAATTTTTAAAATCCTACTTTATTCTACAGATTAACCTCAGAACCTGTTATTTTCAATTAACCAATAGAGAATGTAATAGTGAGGTAATGGTCGGAGTTGAGTCGGGTTTCTGAGCCCTGGGACTCTCAAGAGAGGGCCAGGAGGGGAGGCAGGTGAAAGAGGCTTGGGACAAAGGCCAGATGACAACACTCAGGAAGGGATGGAGCCCACCGCCCGGACACGATTCCATCTGGGTCACTGGTTCTTTGGTCCTCTACAATTTACTTTTTCACCATTTGTCCTTTCAGACCCAAAAGCTCACGGTACCTACAGGCTGCTGGCTCCCTGGATTGGTGAGTAAATCTTACTGGACTGGGATCCATTGCCAGGGAGGGCAGCCAAGAACTAGGCTTGGCGCAGAGGACAGCAGGTGGCCAGCCCGTGTCAGCACCTGGGGTCTGGATCGGCCTCACTCCCAGTGCACCCTCGCCCCTTCCCACTGGCGCTGAGGCCTCCTGACAAGCCTCCGGTCTCTTCTCCGTCCTCTGCAGCCTCTAGGGCCCACACTCATCACCGGATTCTGTGACCCCCGCCCCCATCCCTGTATCTCACACTCTGCGTGACGTCATTTTGTCAAATCGCTTTCTGAAATGCCCGGGGCTTTCCTGTCTTCTGCATGAAGTTCTTCTGGTGAATGCCGTTTGCCCCAAACTATGCCCAGTCTTCTCTCTGTGCTGCCCAACTCCCCACCCACCAGCCGATACCCCATCCGCTTCTGGTGCAGGGTACGGTCTGCTCCTGCTGAACGGGCAGCCGTGGTTCCAGCACCGGAGGATGCTGACCCCAGCCTTCCACTACGACATCCTGAAGCCCTACGTGGGGCTCGTGGCCGACTCTGTGCGCGTGATGCTGGTAAGTCTGTGCCCTCTGCCCGCCCTGCGCACAGCCCAGCTGGGACCCCCGTGGGACACCAGCGTCCTGGCAACCCAGACTCGGCCGCCAGGGGGCGCTCTCGGGGCCACGCCCAGAGTAGCCAGGGCAGCAGGCCTGGGCAGCTTCACTCACCTGGCTCAACCCCCACCGGAAAGAGGG